GAGGTTTTTATGGTCACATTATAGATCACACGTAATGCAACACAGCCATAAGACTGGTGACCTTTAACCCCAGCTGACAGAGGTCAGAATGGCAGTCTAAAGTTGACCTTTACTGATGTTTTAAAATGAGCTCAGGGTTAAACCACCAAGATTGCCTATGCCAATTCTTTCGTTCTGTTTATTCAACTTTTTATTGAAATGGATCGTGTATTAGAGCTGCACAATACCAAATTGCATCTATGATGAAAAAGTATTACAGTATTTCATTTAAATCTACTTCCATTCCACCATTTTGTATTTTGTAGCTTGTGTTTTTGTCTCTTTTTTTCTTGTTGCGTTCATAAATGTGTGCATTTAAATTATTCTACAGTATTAATTTTTTTGGATATATTGTCGACTTTATTGCATAGACACTATTGGATGAGAACTGAACTGAGCTGGATGATAACATCACTGAATCAACAATGAACTGCCCTTAGGTGAAAAAAAATGACTGTTTACTATTATCCTTTTTTTAGAGATGCTCTACAGCAGAATTTTATTTTGTTTGAATTATTGACACACTATATTCCTGTTTAACACTGTAAAGCTGCTTTGACACAAATCTATATTGTATAAAGCACTATATATATAAAAGTGACTTGACTTAAGTTGAGTACTAGCTCTTATTAGGAACAACAACCGGTCCGAAGCGAGGTTTCTCATCAGTCTCATCCACAGATGCATTTTTTTATACTTCCATTAGCTATGGAATAAATACTAAACATAAAGGTGCTTGGTGTAAATGTGACTTCTTGAGCTGTGCTTCATACATTGCTACACTATTGACAATGCAATTGACATTTTTTCCTGGAAAATTTCACCAAAACATTGCTAATGTGACCACACTTTAACACTACAAGGCATACACACAATGTAAATAGGGGATTCACTGTACTATTTACGTTACACATTGATTATAATGGCAACCTTTACAAGAATTCACAACACGGTGAGCTTGATGGGTCAGTGAGCTTATGTTGTTTTTCATACTACTAAAAGGGTCAGTGCGAGGTTGTCTTGATTACTGAACCATAAACAGCAATAAAATAATTCAGGGAGACTGATCTCTGCTTGCTATGATAATTCAGTTTCCAGATACAAAAAAGCAGTGGTGGACAGTAATTTTACTTAGTGTACTTAAGTACATTTTTCTGCTTTATCAGAGTATTTATTTTGAGAAAATGTTACTTTTACTTCACTACATTCCAAAGCATAATATTGGACTTTTTACTCCATTACATTTCCTAAAAATGTTGTTCCTCATTATTTTGAACTGGAGAAAGTGATAGTAGTGTCCGATTTGTGAACAGGCTGATTCTTTTCAATGAACCTGTTAAATCGGTTCACAAATCGATTAATTTGCTAACTGATCACTGATTCAATGATCCAGTCAGAGTGAGTCTCCAGTGAATTCACAAGTCTGACTCCGAATGAGTCAAGAATGGATATTCTCGGAGCTTGAGTGTGCGCACAACTGATGGCGTGAAAAGTAAGTTACCAATGCCAAATTTTAGGATTGATTATTTTAAATGAAAATCATATTCAGACCTTATTCAGACCCAGATCATATTTATTAGTTGTTTGTGAACTAAATCTTCTGTAAATGAGAGAGCTGTTTAACCCCACTGCATGAAATGCTTGAATGCTGACATGTCCACGTGTGTATCACTGTCTGAAACAAAACCAAAAACAAAACAAAACATAACATTAAGATAACGCAAATTAATGCCCATGCATCTTACCCTCTACCATAGCCGTTTCAAATGATATACAACTAGTATGTATGCATATAGTGTTATTCTTAAAATGTTATAGCCTACATTTCGCCTAATGTGACATTTATTTTTATATTGTTTGTCAACACACATTTAGTTTTTCCTCATTTTTTAAATACTATACCAGGGATCCTCAAATCTGGCCCACGAGATCCACTTTCCTGCAGAGTTTAGCTCTAACCCTAATCAAACACACCTGAGCATGCTAATCACAATGTCTTCAGGATCATTAGAAAATCACAGGTAGGTGAGTTTGATCAGGGTTGGAGCTAAACTCTGCAGTGCATTGGCCCTCCAGGGCAAGATTTAAGGAACACTGTACTATACGTTATATATGTATCTGCACCCACTAATCTACCTAATTAGCGCTGGCTACTTGACTATTCATAATCATTCATAATGATGTCAGACCACCCACCAAGCCTCCCTCCCCCAGGTATTTTGAGCAATGGAATTATATGGAATATATAATATAAAATTATTAAATATAAAAGTATATAAAATTACAAAAGAAATGCACATTCATCGATCAGTACTTTTTACTTGTAATACTTAAGTGCATTAAAAATGACATACTTTTGTACTTTTACTCGAGTAAAACTGAAAAGGAGTACTTAATACTTTTACCGGAGTAATATTTTATTAGGGTATCTTTACTTTTACTCAAGTACTTGATTTGTGTACTTCATCCACCACCGCAAAAAGTGCTTTATAACATATAAATTCTATAATTGTTTTGCCCTATGGTGCACAGAAAAACAGGTGTGCTTCTTTTGAAATGTTTTTTCAAACAATGACACCTTCTGCCCTTCCTTCTGAAAATAACCTTTTAGTTTCTGTATGCTCTCCTTCCTGTTGTGTTGAAAGCACTTCACTGCAAGAGATGCAATGCAAAGAAGCAATTAGACAAATGGCATATACACTCAAGTAATGCACCTTCTTTTATCTATTTCAAGAAAAGCTTAGTCTATAGATTGAGTGTATTCATTAAAAAGTCTTCAAGCTACCCTCCATTTCCTGGGCCATTACAATGCGGCTGTGATCTAAATTCTATGCCAGTCCTCTATGCCCTGACTCTCCTCATTTTCTTCACTTCGACCTGCTTGGAGAGTACTTTGTCTTGTAAAAAGTCCAAAAAAGACTGCCAGACTGCTTTGAGGGTTCTTTCGAGCCTCGACAATACTCAGGAAGTCAGGCTGCTCGATTTTTATGTGTGTCAGCACTTGTGTCCTTTCTTCTAACCTACATTTGAAAAACCAGACTGGCCAAGACGGCAAGGGAATGCAAGGTTCATATGTAGTTAAAATAAACATTAACTCTGCCAAGTAACATTAATGTGGTCCTGCAATTTCTGAGAAGGATAAGGCTATCTCTCCCCAAAAGGCTTCCAGTACAGTCAGACTCAGACTGTGACTCCATTGCACTGGTTCATCTCCGCATTTGGCAGAACAATCAGAAGGTGATGGAGATACATGTTCCCTTTTCTCAGGAGATCTGCAGCTCAAGTCATTATTCAGTCTGAACTCCAGCACAACTTCCCGGACAGTTTTACCATTCACAGATAAATTCAGCACCACTCCCAAATCTCCACCTTATTAGCTGGATCTAGATGCAGTTTTTTGCTAATACTGTATATTTAAATGGATATGTATTCAACAACTAACTGCACAGCAATTTGAAAAACAGTTTGCAATAAAAATCTGTCAGCAGTATATTAAGATTTTGAATGTTTCTCTAGAATAGTATGCGCTTATGCTCAAATGTTAAAAAAAGGCCTTTTATTTACTCAGAGTAGTCCACTCACGACTGCTGAGATGGGAATTATGAAATCTTCCAGTTAGTCAGTAAAGGCTGATTTATACTTCTGCGTCGGACCTACGCCGTAGCTTCCGCATAGACACACACCCATACGGGTTTAAACCCCGCTGCGGCCGGGTGCAAACATGTCCTACCGTATTAAAAAATACACAAACGCGCTGCTTGGACGGCTTGGATGGCTGTAAATGTTATTTTTTAATAATAATGTTTGCGATAGAGCTGACGGAAGTAGGCCTGCTGTGACAGCGCTAGACCCCGGGCTGTCCTGCTCGTGAAGGCGGGGACGGATTCGCAGCTCCCCCTTCCGGCTCCACTGCTGCCGCAAACACATTCACTATGCCATGAACGCGGAGCATAGTGTTGCCAGATTTCGCCATATTGCGAAAAAATCCCCTAAAATTAATTTCGTATGCATTATTAATTTAACTTTTGAAATAATAAAACTCCAGGCTTGTAGTGTAAAAGTGAGAAATTCACGGAGTATATTGACAGGGGGGATATATGTTTATTAATGAGTAACACAAGGATAAACAGAAAAACTGAATAAACAGGTTGATGAACAAAAGTTAAGGCTGATTTATACTTCTGCGTCGGACCTACGCCGTAGCTTACGCATAGACACACACCCATACGCCATAGCCTAACGTGCACCTCTCCAAAAATCTAACAGCGCGTCAATTCTACGCAGACCGCAAGCACTGTGATTGGTCTGCTAGAACCCCTACCTCCATATGTACTTGAGTTTTGTGTGTGTTTATGTGCACTTTAATATATTTTAATGTTACACCTTCTTATATAAAATAAAACAAAGCAAAGAACAAGTGTCTTATCATTTATTATACTACATAGCATTATACATCAGTAGTTGTCCGCAACAAACAATGTTGATCTGCCGTGGTACAAGTCCTTGTGCAGATTGAAAGAATGCCATCATCTCCTGTTCCGTTGTTGTCTCCTTTTTGTAGTTTTAAATAATGATTTAATGATTTGATATTTATTTGCCACCATCACGGCTATATAATGCTTCTCCGACGAGCCGCTTCTTCTGCTTTTGCCGTGGTACTGCGGGTTACACCAGCAACATGCCTGTGGACACTGCAGACTAGCGGTTTGCATGTGTACTGCACGTTGACGTGGACAGTGACGCAGAAGTATAAATGAAAACTGACGCATAGCCTGCGGCGTAAAGGCTACGGCGTAGGTCCGACGCAGAAGTATAAATCAGCCATAAGAAGTGTGAAAGAAACAAAATAAGAGTCATTTCAAAGATTGTGTGAGGGTGTTCTGCAAATGTCAGTGCCTTGTAATCAGATACATTTTTCTTCAGTTATATGTATGAGTTAGTCATTTAAAGAGGTTACTTACTGATTTCGTTCAACTTGTAGAACCAATTTCAAGTCCTGGGCTGAGACTAGAATCTCCCCTCTCTCTGGGAACTGGTCCTGATGAAATAGAAATATAACTCTGTTCACTTTAAAAATCAGAGCTATCCATGTCATTTCTGTCAGAAGAACTTGTGTCATAAGACAATTAGTTGAGTTGCCAATGAGTTGGTATTATTACTTTATAATCATTAAGAAATGGTTATAAAAAACAAACCCATATCCCTCTGTAAGGCAGAGGTGTAAAGAGTACCTGAAAACTATACTTGAGTAAAAGTACAGATACCTTACAGCGAAAATGACTCAATTACAAGTTACAAGTCACCAATCACAAAACGAATAGTTTTGTAAAAGTCTTAGAGTATCTGATTTTAGCAGTACTTAAAGCTGCAGTCCGTAAGTTTTGCCTCTTTTTGAAAACCTGCAATTGCAGCTGTGTGCAGAATTATCTTCCTTGCGTGGGTTGTGCGCCGGCATGGCTCCAGCGTGGATGAATCTGTTTTGAGGAGTATGTGTGGCAGTCAGTCACTGCACCGGTGTGGATATTGTACTTTGCACTCACAGATTCTAGCCTACGTATTGGAATATCTAACTCAAATAAGCATTTTCACCGGATATTGTCATCTGAACAAGTAAGTAACAAGTCTGCCACATTTGTTCTGACCAACTGAGGAAAAAAGCATTACAATAAATCGTGAATCGTGCTATGATTTAATCTAAATTAGCTCATATCACATCAAACCGTGCAAATTATTATTAGTTATACTTTATTCTCAAATTGTTAATGTTAACATCATCATTGCGTGACTATGAGTATAGTGTGTATAAGTGAGTAGATTTCAATTCCTGTACAGTCTAATCTCTAATTGTCATACCACTCGAATTTCATATAAAGAAAATTATTTTAACCCAAAAAGAAAATTATGCTCCCTTTGAACTGGTTGTCTTTAAAATACAAATATTGTGTAATCCCAGGCTATCTGTAATCAGAAGCACATTTAAAACTGGAATATAATTTAATTTCATTCACATGTGTTTCATATACACATAATCCTTTCTGGATTACAATCCGCCATCAAAATTATACATTTAATTATCCTAGCTGCTGTGAGAAAAGGCTATAAACGATACGCCACCTGCAGGATCCTCACATGCGATAGCCTAGTAGCCGGGACAACTTCTTTATGTTTACAGATGTGACGTAATAACGCAGCGGCATGCTCGAATTTCCCGTGAAAACCTACCCGTACCACTTAAATTAGAAAACATTATTATAAGCTAACCGTTGTGAATCGGGCTAAAGTAAGGTGATAGTTTCGAACACTGGCTGGTTATGTACTTGCTCAAATATTGATTTATTGGTGTAAAAAGTACTTATACCTATTCAAAAATGTAGCGAAAAGTAAAAGATGCTAATACCTTTGATACTCAGTAAAACTACAAAGCAGCCAAAAAGATACTCAAGTACAGTAACTAATTACATTTACTCAAATACATTACTCCACTGCTGTAAGGTAACAAAACAGAATATTCAAAAGACAAAATGCAGGTCAGGACTTAATATTATCTAATAGTCTGTGCAACAAAGTTGATGTCAACAGAAAAGTATTTTCATAAGTGAAGCAATTTGATGAAATATTCAAAAGACAATTTGTCTTTGGAATAATGTGCGCTGATAAATATTGGGCAATAAGAATGGCAATGTGCACAACTATTTAATGGTTTTGGGTCAGTGAGATTTAAAGACTTTACATTGTTACAAAAGATTTCTGTTTCAAATAAATGAAAAAAAAAATATATCATGGTTTTGCAACTGTTTTCAACAGTAATAATAATAAGAAATGTTTCTTTGAGCACCAAATCAGCAGATTAGAATTATTTGTCTAGAGTCTAGAGAACCAGCTGCTGAAAATTCAATAACAATAATTCTGTAATTACATGTATGTAATAATATTTCACAATATTTATTATTGTTTTTACTGTATTTTTGATTAAATCAATGCAGCCCTAGTGAAAATTTTAAAGAAAAAAATTTCTTACAGACCCCAGACTTTTGAACAGTAGAGTATATTTAAATAAATATAGTAAATTTTGATCTAATGTTGACTTCAAAACCTCTAAGTCTAAGAGTTTTTGACAGTGTTTTTTAAAACTTCAAAAAATATGGAAGTCAAATCCTCAGTAAAGAACTCTCTCCAAAAAAATGTAACCATGTCACCCAGTCAGCTGCACACGTAAACCCTGCCATTAAGAGAAGAAACAGGGTGCGTCTCAATCAGCTCCCTAGCTCCCGAGCTCGTGAATCAGTAGATCGTGTACACGAATTCGGTCACTGGTAAGTTCCCTGACTCACTGCACATTGGGACAGTGATCACTCGAATTCCAGTGACATGATTATGTACAATGTCAACGGACAACATAACGTCATCACTGGAATTAATAAACAACAGGCAGGACCGATCCAATTTTTATATTATTTTTTATTCTCTTTAAACACATCGTTCTGTCACATGTTCTTACAACATTTCAGCCGAATATGAATTATAAATGTTAATTAGATGTTTTCAATTCCTGTCTAGCGATGTGTGTTTATGTTGAAATACAGTGCTGCTTGAAAGTTTGTGAACCCTTTACAATGTTCTATATTTCTGCATAAATATGACCCAATTCATCATCAGATTTTCGCACAAGTCCTGAAAGTAGACAAAGAGAACCCAATCAAACAAATGAGACAAAAATATTTTCTTTGTCATTTATTTATTAGGAAAAATGACCCAGTGTTACATTTCTGTGTGGTGCAAAAGTATGTGAATCTCTAGGATTAGCTATTAATTTGAGGGTGAAATTAGAGTCCATCTGTTCAGAGGTGTTTTCAAACAGTGGAATAACTATCAGGTGTCATTGCCTGCCCTGTTTTATTTAGAGAATGAAATCTATGAAAGTCTGATCATGTTTGCGGGAAGTGAATCATGGCACGAACAAAGGAGATCTCTGAGGACCTCAGAAAAAGAGTTGTTGTTGCTCATCAGGCTGGAAAAAGGTTACAAAACCATCTCTAAAGAGTTTGGACTCCACAAATCCACAGTCAGACAGATTGTGTA